TCTACCGCTATTCAAAGAGTTCAGAGTTCAAACTCATTTAAACTTCGATTTTTCGCCCAATTCGTTTCATCTTTGGAAGTCGCAAGCCCTAGTTTTCTGGCCTTGAGCACTAATGGTCACCCCTCATGGATCATGTTCGTCGACAACCGCCGAAGGAGGTTGAGTGCAGTGGCCTCAGTGAATCTCATGACTACACCGCCTCTCCTTGCACTCACTTCTTGTTACGCGCACGGACATTGTAATTATCGACGCCACCCTTTTCGAGTAGTTCCATTGTACAATAGTGAGTGAATTTCTTCATTTCTTCCCAATCGATGCGTATGTTTGCTCGAGTCGATTGGGCAGTCAGCCGACTCTGATTCAGCAATCGCCGTCTGTCCATGAGTGTGCCCTGTGTTGATGTAGGCATAAGCAGAAATACATGGACTGATAACACTCTGTACGCCGCCGCTTCTTTCCCGATTCGAAAATCGCAAGAGTCGCGCCGATTGTCGCGAACGGGGCGGTACCGTCGCATTGCGATGCCGCGCTATCGCATTTCCTTTTCTGGTCGTCGAAGCGATTTGTCAGCAGCGGCTTGCTTTTGCGTTCCGTCTCGCTCGTGCTCGTCTCCTTTTATCTCATTTCCTGAACGATGCTCTGGTATTTCCAATTTACAGCAAAAGTTTCTGATCGAACACTTCCTCTCACTTCGTCTCTCTCTTCACAACCCTTCTTTTGCTACCAAAAAACTTCGTTTTGCCGTTGAAAATGCAGCGCTCCGCTCTCGATGCCTGGTATGATGTGATTCGTGTTTGCGATTGATTGTAATACGGCTAAGCTTCGGATGAACGCTGTCGGTTCGGCGACGGGCTGGCCATCTACCTCATCGGGTACTCTTCAGTCATTTCGCCGGTCCGCTAGCGTTGATTCATCATCAACGCTTCGTCTATCGTTCGTTCGTTAGATTCCGCTGCTACTTCTGCTGGTGGTGAACCCTCCCAATCAATGCTTATCATTTTTAAGTGATTCGAAGCGACCCACGGACGAGAGCAGCTCGACGTTTTTCGGTCGTCGCTTCCCGTTTTGTTTGATCTCTTGGAGAGGAGCAGAAGAGAGCGGTGTGAGTGAGCTCCGCCCTCACAATTTGCTGACAGTCGCGCGACTTCCCACAAGTGCTTCCACATTTTCCGTATCGCTTCGGCTACCGTTCTCGTTCTGAAGCATCGTCTGCATCTGAATCCACTCGTCTACTACTGCCATCATGTCGAAAGTGAACAAGGAAGGCGCTCAGCAGACATCGCTGCTCGATGTCCTCAAGAAGAAAATGCGCCAAGCCCGCGAAGAGGCTGAAGCTGCAAAGGACGAGGCCGATGAGGTGCAGCGACAACTCGAAGAGGAACGCAAAAAACGCGAAGACGTAAGCCTTTCTGTCCTAATTTTCCATTCTCTATCTATTATCATTTCCTTCCATACCTCCCCTGCCGCCCTCACTGTACGATCACCTTAGCCAGGCCCTCCCCTTACTGTACAGTCACTCAGCATTATTTTGAAAGTGAATATTTTGGCGCAATTTTTCTCTCTAAATCATTTAGAGGCTATAGAGTACCGGAAACAGTGAAGGGCTCATGAATGTATTGAGCACTCTTTACCCTCCAACTAATTTCGTGCACCTAACTATCGATTCGAAGAGACGGGGTGGACGCAGATGTTTCATTCATTGCCGTTCTTGTTCTACGCAAGGCCAAAACCAGATATAAATCAAGCCGCCAACCAGCAGTTGTTCATAGCAGCCACACACACTTATGGCAATGCGAAACCAGCATACATACGTTCGTTAGACGGATTCATAAGTGAAGTTGTTCTCATCGCATGTGCCCGGCCAGCCGATACGTCGCGTTGTAAATGGCGCAGAGTGCTAAGAAACTCGCTGATGTTGAAGTGTTTACGTTTGTGAAGTACTGTGAGGAGAAGGGGGGAGAGAGGTGCGCCTATGAATCCGAGGAATTCTCTGCTGCTCGGTCTCATGTTTGAAGAGCGGTCCCTCGCCCCTCCACCATGCTAACCGCCTTTCACAACACAGTATCCGGTCCCGGGCATGGTTGCTCAGTGTGGGTGCCTTGGCGAACGCGTCGGCTCAGAGATAATTCCCCGAAAACAGCGAGAACCCGAAGTGCAGTGGAAATTTTGAGCGCAATCAGTCGACGTGCATTTTTAGCGCTTTCCAAAGGGTCACACTCATATCAGTTCTGAGATAATTCAACCAAAAGTCAAAGCATTCAAAGCGTTCTTACAATCGATACAGTGGGGGAAGAAACCTTTTGTCAGGGATGACGTCCACGACGGGATGACGTTGATCGTTAACACTTGGTCAAGCTCTCTGTTTCCCCAAGCTATGCAGCGGGAGGGAACTTCCAGATTTTTTTATAACTAGTGATTAATATATTGGTCCTAAGTAAAGGTTATGAGGTGTTCAAGTTCCTGCAGGCGCGAATGAGAAAAACTCGTCCCCACCTTCACACCTGAATTTCTTTCAAATTGCACCAGTTTTATTTCCTTTTGCAATTGGGGAATCCTCAGCTGGGAGACTTACTTGGTCGTGCCGAGGGGGGAGGTTTTGGTCTGATAGTTGATTTGATAGTTCCTGATAGTTGATTTTTTTCTTCACGTGTGCTTTGTAATCCTCTGCTCGATGGGAAGACTTTGAGGGACAAGTTGGAAATTTTCTGGAAATTCCGAAAAAGAAGACTGGAAAAACTAGAAAGTAAGGAAAAAATCTAGCAAAGTGGGAGGTAGTCTGGGGAAGGGGTGGATCTCATGAGAGCAGGGGACTGGAGGTCGGAATCTACCGGAAATTTCCCAAGCGGCAGGATGTGCCTTGATCCCTGCCCCGTTTCCCTCTCTACCAGCCAAGGAATTGTCCCAGTTCTCTGTTGAGACCGATTTCCGCGAGGACCGATGTCGTTTGCGGATTTCCGGACATTTTTACTAAAAGCGTGAAGTTCACCGAGCGAGCTCTGCGGTCGTGCGAGATTGGGAATGAGTTGAAATGTCTGCGATGTTCGGATTGGGAGGGGCATTTTGCACATTCGCTAGTTCTTGTTAAATGAGAGGACCTTTGGAACCCTTCTGAAGCTGCGAAATGATACAAATAAGCCACTGTGGTTGCAACCATTTACTGGTCTTCATAATGTGGCCTGTGCAGGCTTCACTGAGTACCATGGGACGCCCACACCAATTCGAACTTCTCCGAAGTGACCTTAAAGTCAACATTCCCAACTTTTTTTCAATTAACTGGGTCTCAATTGAACTCAAACATGTGGCTAGTGGGAGGTGTATGTGTTTTTCTTCTTTTTTTTATGTGTCATGTCGGACAAACACCCATATTCCTGGAAGAACCCGGCACGCTTGAATTTCTTTTAGACGTCTTACAATCAAGACTTCAGTCCTCTATAGCGATAGCTGCGATGTGCAGCCAGCGGGCCGCACAGCTGTCTCATCACCACGGCACGTAATATATTCGCAAAACGACGGCGGCTGTACGAATTGATGTTTCGAAGTATCTGACAGTACATAAACTTATAATCGCGTCCATACGTAAGTAGCACCTATAGAACAAAATCGATGAACCTAATCGAATGGTACAGTCCATCTCGCCCGTGAACCAGAGCCCATCATCGTACAATGGGGATCCCACCAACGGCCGGACGGGCCTTGTTTGGAAAACGGTCTATGTCCGTTTCTTAAGAAATCGCAACGTCACTTGAGTGCCTTCATGCAGGGTTCAGGTCTTTAAAAAACTGAAAAATCAATTGAAGTTTTTGGCATCATCCCTGAGAAAGCACTGCAAAAACTATAAAACGTGAATTTATGAATGTAGAAGAGACAGTGTAGTCATCTCTTTTTGGATGCGCTATGCATTGGATTCCTGTGCTTAATTATAGTGCTGTTGCATAGGGATACTACTTCTCTCATAAGTTCATTCGCGAGTCCAATCAGCATGAATGGTAATATTCCTGAATTCCCAAAGCGAGGTGGGATATGCACTTCTCCAGAGCGGTTTGCACCACTCTCGCTGCTAGCTCTCCATGATTGAATTAGAAGTACTCTTAGTGCCTTTGAGGACGTCATGAGTCCTTCTAATGTAAACATAAAACATTATGTTATACAAAGGACGCAGCTTAAGGTGCAGGATGGCTAGGGACATTCAAAGGACTTCTTGTGCAAGGCTGGAATTGCTGTAATGTATGAGGATTTTTAGAGGGGAGAAGTCCTAGTATGACAGAACCAGTTTCTTTGGACAAGTAGAGAGGCTTCGCACTACGGTAATCCCAGTTTTTCACAGGGTGTCCTTTGATTGCATACTTTGCCGACTTGCCTTCTAGTAAATGTCTGGTTTATGTACGTGGTAGAAAGATTTCCCTGGATCCATGACTGGTAGGCCGTCTGGGCCCTCTTCGTTGGTCATACAATGTATCGCAGTCAACCTCGCATTAGAGACTTTCTTACTTGTAGTGATTACTCTCAGAGAGATGCTAGAACGAATAAGCCTCATGGAAACGAGATTCCGCATAGAGAAAATTGCGCGCTCAATATTCTCTAAAAAGGTTAATTTCATCCACATGCACTTTCTTGGCTTGCTGAAATCGATTGCCCTTAAAGCTTCTGCTCCCTGGACATCTCGTCACTGGGCAAATTATGATCTTAGCAGTAAGCGAACCTGCAGAAGGCTGAGAATTCCCCGGGGGTCCCCTTCCCTCGTCCTGATTTCTCGCTAACTTTTGTAAAAACTGCGGCACCTCTAGGCGGAAGCTGAAGTGGCCGCGTTGAATCGCCGCATTGTGCTGGTTGAGGAGGATTTGGAACGCACCGAAGATCGTCTGAAGATTGCCACATCCAAATTGGAAGAGGCATCAAAAGCAGCCGATGAGGCTGAACGGTTAGTTGTCGTTGATTATCGTTCACAAATTCGCCGCTAATCATTTCAGGCTGAGGCAGAGGTAGCTGCCTTGAACCGTCGTATGACTCTTCTCGAAGAAGAGCTTGAACGTGCAGAAGAGCGTTTGAAGATCGCCACTGAAAAGCTCGAAGAGGCCACTCACAATGTCGACGAGTCCGAGCGGTTGGTGGCGATGGCCAACGTGCCCGCCGGCTGCCGACCGCTTGCCAATGTCCTCGAGTGCTCGTCAAATTGTGATTCGCTTATTCGCTACTTACAAGTTGTGACAAAAATGTTGTCCATTGTGACATACATATGTGTAGAGTCCGACTGCAAAAACCTGTTGGCGAGCTGCTGCTCCAGCGCAGTTTGGCCGGTCTTTCACGCCCCCCAAAAGCGCTGGTCTGCCATGGCATGCCAACAGATTTGAGCATTCAAAATGGGAGTTGAAGATGTGTTCATGTTGTCCAGTGTCCGTGTCAAAGTTGATTTTGTGTTGTCTAGCGCTCGTAAGTCGATGGAGACGCGTTCGCAACAGGACGAGGAACGCGCGAACTTCCTTGAAACTCAGGTGGACGAGGCCAAAGTGATCGCTGAAGATGCTGACCGCAAATACGAAGAGGTCCGAACCAGTTCCAGATGACTACGTTTCCCTAAATGTGTATGTGTGTGTGTACAGCCCCAATCAGCCCCGCATGGATGTCCTCTCTCAACGGATCCCTCGTCGCCATTACGAAAGACTACCAAGAACTTGTTTCTGTCCCCTTCTAGCTGTCAACTTTTAACTTCTCCAACCAAATTTCAGCAATTTTAACATTTTCTAGATCTTACTATAGATCCGAGTGGGTGTGTGAAACTAACTTTTTCGATTGTGCAGAGCTCGGAGGTCGCTGGAAAATCGCGTCGACGTGGATGAAGATCGTTGTGCCGAGCTCGAATCAAAACTACGTGAAGCTCAAGCTCTTTTGCATGAAACAGAGAGCAAGAGCGAAGAGGTATTTGCAGTGCTAATCTGATTAACAGCTATCGGTAACAGCCCTCACTTTTTACGTGTACTTTTCTGTGTTGTACTCAGTGTTTGTCCGTCACAGAGTCGGTCACTGCAAGCAAGCGGGAGGTATGCGGGGCCTTTTTATATCGCTTTCGCTGTCATCACCTTTGCCAAGCAGGGTCAAGCACAATCCGAAGAAAAACTCACCCGCAAAACTTTTGCTAGAACTTGTGAAACTCTTTTCTAAAGGAACGGTCCGCATGGCTCAAGAAACTGCAAATGGTTGTGTGGGAAAGGTAATACAGACCGCACTGGACAACCTCGTGCCAGTCGCGCGGCGGAAAGTTGTAAGGTAAAAGTTAAAGGGCTTGTTGCTTCAGTGGCACCTCCCTTACTCCAGTGACTCCGCCTCTAGACCCTTCGAGGTCTGCCAACCATCTGAAAGCAATGCAGTATCGAACAAATCGCCTCAAATGGATTCTCTACAGTCTCTTATGAGATCATAGGGCTCGTTAAAAGGGATCATCTGGCTGGAGGACTCCCCCCCCCCCCCCCGCGGTCTTTTGGTTTAACTTGTGAAATTGCTCGAGGGATCCTATCACAGGCGTTTTCCACGTTCCCTTTGTCACTTTCTTTTCACAGACGATTCACTTGACTCAACATCTGTTGCTTATTTCAACACCATTACCTACGCTCCCTATCGCGGACCGTGCCTTTACTGGGCTAGAAAACTTGAAAGGGAGAAAAAACTTTCTCCGAATTTCTCCAACTTGGGAATAAAATGCTTGACCCTTCGCTGGTTTGGTTCGATGAGCACGTAGAATAGCTGTTGACAACCTGCACATTATGCACAAAAATTGGTTCAGTGTACGCAAAGTGATGGAAAACCGCTCATTCCAAGATGAGGAGCGTGCCAACACGATTGAAGCTCAGCTCAAAGAAGCCCAGATGCTCGCCGAAGAAGCCGACCGAAAATACGACGAGGCGAGACAGAGCGACACTTACCCATGGAGTGATAATTCTAACCCCCGGTCTTTAACCGGGACTTACTCATCAAGCATGCTTTTGCCAGTCCCATAACCCATCGTCTAAGAGTGTTTTGTGTACCATCACGATAACATAGAAGATTATTGGGAGTCGTTACAGGTCGCCCGTAAGTTGGCCATGGTTGAAGCTGATCTCGAGAGAGCCGAGGAGCGTGCCGAAGCCGGAGAGAAGTGAGTTTTCCGTCATTTTTCATTAGCGTTGCTTCGCGTTCAACGCATCGCGCTCAACCATAGGAATTAAGCTTTTGAATAATATTAGACCCGATTAGTAACCGTTAGTACAGCAAGATCGTCGAATTGGAAGAAGAATTGCGTGTGGTTGGTAACAACTTGAAGTCACTCGAACTTTCTGAGGAGAAAGCCCTCGAGAAAGAAGACATTTTCGCCGAGCAGATTCGTCAGCTTGACTTCAGAATGAAAGAGGTTCGATCGATTATGAAACAGAGAGACGTCATCGTCCAACGTCTTCAAACCCTACGTCAGACCATCCGTCGTCATCGTCGAACCATCCTTAACCACCTCTCATACAAACTATCAATCAAGAACCTGATAAGACCTTATAAGCAAGCTCTAACACTCTGCTTCTTTTAACTAACGAAACACTTTGTAAATCTATATGTCCCTTTGAACCTTCCCCACCATGAAACTTTCCCAAGAACCTTTCGTACTAACACACATCCCTAACTAATCAGTTTTCTTTCCGCAGGCGAGCGAACGAAGCGGAACGCGACCTGCATTCTGTCGCCATCGTTCTCCGGCGGAAACAGCACGTCGAGGAGACGGCACTGGAGCGCGAAAATGTCATTATCCTTCATATTACAGCGCTCGAAGCACACCTTAAAGAGGTCTGAACACATCGCTGTTGTGATTGCGGTCGTGTTTTCCCTGCGCTGTGACGCATGTTGCGTTAGTTTCCTACTTCTGCTCTGCTGACGCTCTGCTACAAAACGTACTGTAGCGTACTGTAGATGTGTTGTGTTCTAGTGGTGTTGTGAGGTAAATCATTGTTGGTGTTCTGTCTACAGCAAGATTGTCGAATTGGAAGAGGAGCTACGTGTCGTTGGAAATAACTTGAAGTCACTCGAAGTGTCCGAAGAGAAGGCACTGCAACGTGAGGATTCATACGAGGAACAAATCCGTACCATCTCAGCTCGTCTGAAGGAGGTATAGCGTGTACTGCCCTTTTATTTCGTCCGTACTGTACCTAAATGTTGTAAGTACCTATTTGCTTGTATTACTGACAAGTTTATGAATACCTGAGCTCGAGTTATATCTATGGAAAATGGCTTGATTCAAGGCCTTTCGCCAAATGAACACTTACGGTCACTTACGAGTTCTCAGAAGGTCTTCCTAAGCTTGTTACCATTGAGCATGTAATTCCCTGGAAGTTTCTGTTATGTCGTCAGTTACTGTGCAGTAGTCGGGACAAGACAGCTGAAAAGAGAGTCTCCTGATGCACATTCCTGTATTCAGGCCGAAACCCGTGCCGAATTCGCCGAACGTTCCGTACAGAAGCTCCAGAAGGAGGTCGACAGACTTGAGGGTGAGTTTTTATGAGGAGCTTTCAAACCTGCAAAAACTTTACCTGCCATGGGCCGCTAGAATTCTTGAAGTTCTTCCCTCCTGTTGCCTCGCTGGGAGCGACACCGGTGATTGACGTACTTCAGCAGAGGCAGTTTGGGCCAGTAGGAATCAGATCAGGGATTATCGACTATTCACGATGTAATAAGGCCCAAGTAGAACTGGTCAAGGCGGTTTTTTAATTGATGTGTGTTAAAAGTGTCGTTAATGTGAGTTAAGTGTTGTCTCGTTCATGTCTGTAGATGAATTGCTGCTGGAAAAGGAACGCGTACGTAATCTGACCGAAGAGATCGAGCAGACCGTGCAGGAAATCCAGGGATCATAAGAGTGTCAGTGTCAAAGTTTGTCCGTCAATTGTCGTGCATCGTGTGCATTGCTCCTCCTATCTTCTTCTGGATGGATAACTCCACTGCTTCTGTGGAAATGCATGTCACCCAGCACAGGACCACCCGGACTATAGGCATTGCATGAATGGCACGAAAACAAAATGTTTGCGAATGCTCTTTGAGAATTATTTGATTGCAGTTTCAGTATAACCAGAGTTTTTCAAGGACTAATCAGTTTGGTTTCCCTGTTTTTGGAGTGCCTTAACCATAATCTCAGCGGTTTCAGACGAAAAAGATGAAGCTGATCGGAAGAATAGACTACTTCAAGAGGAACTCGATCATCTGCTCACCGAACTTAATGGTGTCTAATATATTGTTCAGAGTGAGAAGAAACGCCCCCGCCTGAGGTGAAGCCACGCCCCCTCATGGCGTTCTCTTCTTCATCGCCATCACACAGCGTTCCTACTTATACTTAGTGCTCTAATTTCATCTAATTCATTTCTGTTTTGCAATGCAATGTCTAATGATACTCCACGAACTGTTTTAATTTCCGGTGTGTGCGTGTGCTGCGTGATTCACTAATAGAATTTCAATTTGCTCCTTTCATATCCTTTAATAAGTTTCTGGATAAACACGCATGCGTGTTTGGTTGTGTATGTACGTACGTCTCTTCCATGTCTATATCTCCCCCTGTTCAAACATTCATTCCTACCCATCTGTGCCCTATTCGAACCTGACCCTCCTGCCCCTTCCCATGTTCATCAGCGCTGCCTAGACATTGTTTTGAATCCTTTCAGATGAATTGGTACACGAGAAGGAAAGATACAAGGCGATTTCTGAGGAACTTGACTCGACCTTCCAAGAACTCTCTGGCTATTGATTTCGTCATTAATTCATCCATCCATTTTCATTCATCACGTCATCGCCGCTGCTGACGACTTCTCCCGTACATGTGTCTCTTTCCTTCCGCGCTCCCTTTTGTCTCATTTATCATCCATATTGTAGTCGACGCAAACACTCGAACGTTTATACATCGCCTGAACATGTTCATAACCCCATTTTGTTTTATTCGGTGACTTCTCATAGCACATTCGAGAAGTTCACTTCACTCAACACAGTTCCGTTTTCTTAACATCTATTCGTCTTTTCATCTTCTTTTTTTGATGCAGAGCAGGTCAAAATAAAGAATTGAAAAAAGTTCGTGCTCACAGATGCAGAAGTGTCCGATTGGTTCATCACACACGACACCCACATATAAAGGAATCCATTTAGCCACACCCAAGCCCATTGCGGGGAACTCGTTCCAGTCGATGTTCTTCACTTACTCGTCCCTTACCGGTTGCAGGGCGTTCCCATAATCCAGCCTAGATTGGAACTCTTCACGTTCATTGTATTGACATCTTGTCATTTCATGATTCTTTGCCGGGGAACTACCGTCATCCCAATCATTTCCATCGAGAAAGGTCACAGTTCCACTCCCAATGATGAGGCGGTGTCATCTGAATCAGTGCCATCACCTGTACCACCTCTGCTCCCGTTGATATCGAGTTGCTCGAGCGCCAGTAAAATCTCCATTCATCCGTGCAACGTCCCAGAGTTGCGCAACGAATTCTCTGTGCTCAAGGGACACGATCGTACCATCCTTCTAGAGCTTTCATAAAGAAGTCTGGTCATCGCGTGGGCGGTTCTCCAGGTAGTCACTTGATATCCCGTGGAATCCAGGGGGTATAAAACGAACAGCTGGACATCAATGCCATATTTGGCTGCAAACCCATATGACAGCAGAGACATGGTGGTACAAAAAAAAACTGCAGCAAGATATAGGAGACCCGTTTCGTTTCTTCCTCCTTGAAATATTTTCTGAACGTATGTTTATACGTTCAAAAATGGTACTAATAAGCTGCCCTAAACGTATAGAGCAAACGGCGAACGTTGGAGGAACCTCATGCTTGAAGGTACGACTTGATCCGCTACCATAAACACAGCTGCGATGCCCTCACTCACTTTATGACCTTGTCTGCCAAGCACGGGGAGCCTTTATGAAAGGTGGTAACGAGGACAGTCAGCTCTAGGGAACACGAGATCCGATGTGAATGGTTCAGGGCGACTATCTGAATACCTCTTTGCGAGATTGTGGCAACTGCAGCACCCTTTGATAGCTGGAAGTTCCACCACCAC